ATAAATCAGCAAATAAATATTCCCGTCGCAGTTCCCACAATTATATATATGATGGAATCAGTCTGTCTGTCTTTATAAGAGTGTTTGTGTGTGTGTGTGTTTGTGAATATGAATAGATATTCACATATGAATAATGTACGAAATTTCAACAATTTGCAAAGTGCTCTTCGCTGTTGGGTCACTCGAGCGGAATGGGGCAACAATTTTAAGTGGTTGCCGTTGTGAATTTTAATTAAATTTTCGATTTCGATTCGATTTGATGCGAGTCGATGCGAAGCGAGACATTGTGATGTGATGAAAAACGATGCGCTATGCCTTGACACTGACATTAAACACATGTTTACAATTCCGTCACTCGATTGTCCAGCTGTGCGTCTGCCCATTCATCCATCAAGCATTCAGTAATTTCTTTGATGCGTGCCAAAACTTTTCAATGCAAAAACTCGCAGAAGCAAGCCAAAAGTTTCTATCAGAAACTTTATAATTGATTATCATAAAAATAGCAAAGTTAATTAGAAGAAACTGTTAAAAGGCGTGCACACCCCATCATCAGCAGCAGCCGCAGCAACATCTGCATCATTATTATCATTAACATCAGCATCATGATGAAGAGCCAACTGGGCATAGATCATTCGTAGCAGCTGAAAACTTCGGACTGGGATATTGGGCTACTGCCATCATTAGTGGAATTTATGGCCAAGTTAATGGCATAGTTCACTGTGTGTGAGAAATGGCTTAAAAAGTAGTTAAGGCTCTTGTTGGTCTCTGCGGCTGTGGCCAGAATACTCTTTTGCTTTAAATACATCCGAGTTGAAGCATTGAGCACGCCATCGTTGCTCTATAACAAATGAAAGTTAAGTGGATGGAATATATATATTGGCTGACCATATTCGAATAAACAATCACGTTGGCCGCTTAAGTCAAGTTTGGGCAATCAATTTAAGAAATTTAGTTGTATTTTCTTCCTTTGCGTGTTGCTGAATAACTTTGCCTTTATTTATTACACATGCTTTGCATGACGTGAAAAGAATATTCTTAGAATATGTGATTCCTTTTCACTGATTCCTATCGAAAGGAATGCTGGACAAAACAAATGTGAAATATATTGTACTATAGATCATGGTAAGCTCATCTTCAATTTTGCTCAATATTATTAATATCGAATAAAATTCATCTTGAAACTTGATTTCCTCAGGACAAATATCGCAGGATTGATATGCAGGATAACAAGCACATAATGAGGGACTATAAGTCTAGTACTATTGACATGAACCAAACTCCAACATGAATAATGAAAATGATAATGCTTATACCTAAATATGTATTGTCTTTGCAATTAATATGTAATAGATACTCAATCTTTAATAAAAGAGGAAGACGAAAAAATACATAAGCAAAAATAATGTCAATATTTAAATAAATCGAATATGATTATAATTCTTCAGCATAACTTTAAAACACTTAGCGCTTTGTGTAAAAGCTGCAATAAAAAAAAAAAAAACGTTTTAACACTAACTCACTGTTAAAAGACTTAGAATGATACGAAAAGAGCAGTTCCTTTTACTTTTAACATTAATTATCTAACAATAAGTAAATCGTGTAGAACTTTTAGTTGTTTAGGTTTTGAGATGAGCTTGTAATTTGCAGTTTAGCACGATTCACTTGTTTAAAGATAGATAACAGTGTCAAAGTTTCTTGAGTCTCATTGAAATTCAGCAGAATGTCGTCCCGCTGTTAACTTAACAGACCGCATTATCTTCTTACTCTAGCACATGGACTCACACGCGAAAGGCAATTGGACGAATAGATTAATTTTTATACAATAAAATAATTGATCAAAAGCAGGCTATAAGACTATATATTGATATGTGTGCCTGAATGAACAATTTTAAAGTTATTTTTATTGTACTTTAAGAGTTATTATAGGACTATTAAGCCATAGCTCTGCAGTAGTTCAAGTGTGTCTACACTATCATTTATATATATTAATTTTTATTGCCGCTTATTTAATGTTTTATTTCTCTCATAAAAAAATATAAAAATTTAACTCAGAATTCCTGTAGCCACCATCTAGATACATGGCTCTGACAAATAAAGCAATAAAACAAAGTGTCTGACAAAGTGTGTAGGGGGAGTGCGAGAAAGTTGAGAAAGTAAAAGTGAAAAGCCAAGTCTCCTTCCGAGAAATTCCTCCTTCTACTCCAAAGGGTCAGCCACGTAGACCAGAGTCGCCTCCTGTCCCTTTCGATAGACCAAGAAGGGAAATCCATAAAAGCTTCACGTGCGCCTATAAGTAGGCAATAGATGTTGTTGCTGTAAGTACAAGCAGAGGGGCTGCTGTGCGGCTGGCAGCTATGCGAAGCAATGCTTCACCTATACAAAATACAAAGAAGAGGAAAAACATAAAGTAAATCCCATTAAAGTAAGCGGTTGGCTGTGACACCGATGCCTCGTTTCATTACAGCGCAGCTTCATCTGGAAGATAAATCGTTCCGAAAAAAATGGTGACAAATGCATCAAAATTAAAATTACCAAGTGGCGCAGCTTACGCTACCAGCACCGGCTGTCGAATTGTCGGGCAGTCGGACAGCCGGCAGGATGACACACTCAAGCTGCTTTGTGCTGCCTTGTTGGTAGAGATAATGTGCGGGATAAGCAAGATGACAACGACAATGATGATGATGATGAAGATGATAATGATGCTGATGATGAGCTGCTGCTGCCTGATAATAATAATGATTTCGATAATGTTTACAGCTTGAGTAGTTACCGCCTTTGTTGTGGGCTACGGTCGACGGTCCACGGTCTACGGTTTACGGGCTGTGGGCCCCTTGTCGGGCCAATGCGTTAATATAAAATTCTTAACTGCCATTTTTTACGGAATTTCCGGCTGTCGCAGTTCGTTTCGTGCTGCAACCTATCCTGCGGCCGTTTCTTGCCAACCTGCCCCGGATGCCGGGCCAGCGTTTTAGCACACTTCCGCCTATTAATTTATCAAAGTTATTATATTTTTCGGCTTGCGCCCGCGGTGCTCAACCATTTTTGACATTCTCTCACTGTCTTGGGCTTTGATTTGGTAAAAGGTATTTTCTCAATATTGAAACACGCAATTTATGGAAAGCAATAAATGGAAAGGCAAATTAAAGTGGCTTGTCCAGCCATTAAGAATTTGTAGAGAAAGAGAGAGAGAGAGAGAGAGAGAGAGAGAGAGAGAAGGCCATTGGATGTGCCTTAAGAGTGTTTCTGCTTGGGGGACTTAGATTACAGCTGAGTGGGAGAGATGCTAAATCAATGCGACGTTTGACTCAGAATTTGTTTACAAGCTCTTGCTTGCTATTGCAAGCATTGACACAGACTTAACATATGTAGGGGTTGTACTGTAAGGTCAAATTTCTTTTAATACCAACAGCTAACTATTCATACTCAGAAATAATATTACTGCATATTTGTTATCTGGCATGTATATTTCAAAAGTGTGTGTATACAAATCTAAACTTGGATTGAGTGTAGCTGCATGCGATGTTTCTAATTGATATTAGGCTCCTTGCTTGCTCTGCATATTGCGATGGGCTAAGCTCTGCGCTGTGCATTCCTTTCAGAGGCAGCAGGCGTATTAAAGTGCTGTTGGCTGTGCAGGCATCTGGAACTGCGCTTTGAAGAGTTTTCCACGGAAATCGGGCTAACCGAATGCAATTAGCTTCACATCTGCATAGAGCACTCGATCTAATCATCTTCATATAGCTGCATAGCTGCTCAAATACTACGACAGACTCTGTTCACTCTAAAGAGGAAATTAATTTATTGATTTGTTATCATATCAACTTTAATGAAGAACAGAAAACAGTCAAGAATATTCAACGGAATTTCTATTTTCGAAAAAAACAATATACTTTACTTTATAAATTGAAATGAAATTTGTTGTACAATTCATGTAATCGACAGATTAATACTCTGTTGCGATTCTCCTCAGCTCCTTTATTTTTCCCTTTAGCGCTATAGCACAAGCAAAAATCTTATAAAATATTTTACAGATTTAATGGATTTAATTTAGAATCGGCAGTTTTTAATTAGATACGCAAATTCCATTAGCTTTTCCTGACAGACCATGAGCCAAGTTAATATACAGGAGATTACAGTGATCAAGTGCATTCTCACATTTTGTATGGCAGTCGCCAACCACTGGGGTTTTCGATTTGCCAGCGGAAGTTGCACAAGACATTTTCCTGCTAGTTCATACCCATCAATGACAGGCTTCCCACAGGAATGCTACCCAGACTGCAATTTGAATACTTGCATTGTGAGAGGTCGAATATACATATTGTAGAAATGTATCAACTGGTTGCATTACGTGGATATTATCAAACATTATATTAATTTGTGAGCTGAGTTGAAGCATAAAGCAAATTAATCCTTGGTTATGTAAAATAAGGAATGAAATCCCTGGCATTCACTATTAACATTATGAATAATTTCATAGCACAAGTCAGTTTTAAATAGTGTTTCGCTTTAAGCGGAATTCCTTGCACTATTCCACGCCATTTCGCATTGTATATCAAATTCAATGAGCTGCCAAGGTGTCAGGGCTGGTGTCTCTATCGCACTGACTTATCCAACTCTAGTTATATAAACTGCCCTGAGACAATACAAAAGTTGAGTTCTGGTGGCACAGTTTGGTTTCCGCCTTGGCGCATTTTGCTGCTGCCACATTGTTTTTACTACAGACAGAGACAGAGGCAGAGAGAGAGAGAGATAGAGAGAGAGGGAGAGTGCAAGTGAGCCAGCAACTGAGCAGATGGCTGCCAAGGGTATAGCTTAATCCTTCGGGACAACAGTTATAAATGGAAGTGGGTGGGAGGGGGATGGGAAGAGAGAGCAAGTAGTAAGCAAACTAAGTTTCAAATTCCAACTAAGAAGCAATTCCGGTCGGATGAACTTTTACATTTATACTACAAATCTAATGCTAATGATTTTTCTGAAATTCTTTCTTTTTATCTTTTTAGCATTGGAGCAATTAGCAATGAGCCAAATATTAAGGCAAACTTTTTGAATACAAGTGAAAAGGCATTCAAGATAAAGCTGAAGCTGAAGCTAAAGATAAAGATAAACTTGAAACGTGATCCGGCCTAGACGACGGAAATGGCTGCTTAAGTGGCGCACTTCCGGTAAAACCGGACAGAATTCAACAGCAACAGCAACAATAACAATAACAAAAGCAACAACAGCAATCCACTCAGCCGCAGCCACTGCTATAGCCATTGGCCCCCGCCCTTGAGCTGAATCTCCAACTGGAAAGCGACTCATTAGGTATCCAAACAAAGTCCTTAAGCATGGCCAATGTCAGCAACGAGACGGTTAACGCTTGGCTGGTCTCAGTCAGCACGCAGCTGCCCCATGTGCTGGGCATGAACTGGAGTGGCAGCAGCACCACCACACTGGCCACGCACGGCAGCGGCAGCAGCAGCACCACCACCACCACCATCAGCCCCACAGCCACCATCAGCTTCCCCAGCAGCACCGCCGCCAGCAGCAGCACCGTCGGCAGCCTGAGTGTGGATGCCACGGATGGCGATAAATCAGGCATTATACACAATCAGTTCGTGCAGATCTTCTTCTATGTGCTCTACACCACGGTGTTTGTGCTGGGCGTGTTTGGCAACGTGCTGGTCTGCTATGTGGTGCTGCGGAATCGGGCCATGCAGACGGTCACCAATATATTCATTACCAACCTGGCCCTCTCCGACATTCTGCTCTGCGTGCTGGCCGTGCCCTTTACGCCCCTCTACACGTTCATGGGCCGCTGGGCGTTCGGCCGGACGCTCTGTCATCTGGTCTCATTTGCCCAGGGCTGCAGCATATATATATCGACGCTGACGCTCACCTCGATTGCCATCGATCGGTATTTCGTGATCATTTACCCGTTCCACCCGCGCATGAAGCTCTCCACGTGCATCGGCATCATAGTCAGCATCTGGGTGATCGCTCTGCTGGCCACGGTGCCCTACGGCATGTACATGAAGATGACCAACGAGGTGATGGACAACGCCACCCAGCTGATCGGCGTGAATGAGACGAGCGGCTGGGGCCGCAGCTACGGCTATCCCGCGCCCGACGCCACCTCGGCTGCCCAGGCCTACATGCAGGTGATCTCGGACGGCGTCACCGTCTGCGAGGAGAACTGGCCGTCGGAGCACTACCGCAAGGTGTTCGGAGCCATCACCACGACGCTGCAGTTCGTCCTGCCGTTCTTCATCATATCCATTTGCTATGTCTGGATCTCAGTCAAGCTGAATCAGCGGGCCAGGGCCAAGCCCGGCTCGAAGTCGTCGCGCCGCGAGGAGGCGGATCGCGATCGCAAGAAGCGCACGAATCGCATGCTGATCGCAATGGTGGCCGTCTTTGGACTCAGCTGGCTGCCCATCAACCTGGTGAACATATTCGATGACTTCGACGACAAGTCGAATGAGTGGCGCCTCTACATGCTCTTCTTCTTCGTGGCCCACTCGATCGCCATGAGCTCCACGTGCTACAATCCCTTCCTGTACGCCTGGCTGAACGAGAACTTCCGCAAGGAGTTCAAGCACGTGCTGCCCTGCTTCAATCCCTCCAACAACAACATCATCAACATCACCCGCGGCTACAATCGCAGCGATCGCAACACCTGCGGCCCGCGCCTCCACCACGGCAACGGCGAGGGCGGCCCCGGCGGCAGCCTGGATGCCGACGATCCGGACGACAATGGCATCACCCAGGAGACCTGCTTGCCCAAGGAGAAGCTGCTCATCATACCGCGCGAGCCCACCTACGGCAACGGCAACGGCGCCGTCTCCCCCATACTCAGTGGACGCGGCATCAACGCTGCCCTGCTCCACGGCTGTCAGTCCCAGTCTCAATCCCAGTCCCAGTCCCAGCAGCAGCAACAGCAACAGCAGCAGCAGCAGCAGGTGGAGCTCACCCGTCGCATCCGCCGGCGCACAGACGAGGACGGCGACTACATCGACTCCGGCGACGAGCAGACGGTGGAGGTGCGCTTCAGCGAGACGCCCTTCGTCAGCTCCGACAACACGACGGGCATCAGCATGCTGGAGACGAGCGAGTGCCTCTTCCAGAGCGCAGCCGAGCTGCCAGAGCTGGACATTGTCGTGGTTGGCTCTGATGGAGCCGATGCCAGCAGGCGATGTAACTGAGACAGGGTGAGTAGTCAGTCCCATGAGGTGATATATTTCCATATAGAATCATAGAGGTCTTCCTCCACAATAAAGAGACTGCACAGCTGTCTCTCCATCTTCCTCTTTAGATATTTTCCGATGTATGTATATTTAATAAGGGCATATTTAATCAATGACAGAATGCAGCTCTCGAGTGAGATGCAAAATATTGAAAAGTTTTTCTGCTAATGCACTTCACAGATAAATGTCACTCAAAGTCAATTTTTACAAATTTCATTCGAAGTGGAAGGCAGCAGCAGCGTAAATAATTTAGTGAGAGGAATGTCGAGAGTATTTTGCCAACTCATCATTTGACGGCAAAGATGAAAATAAGAGGAAACCAGCTTACCACAGAAAGCAACAGGATAGAGATAGATAGAGCGAGAATTGAAAGTAAAATTGAGAGGAAATATTTCGATGATGCAATCTATTTCCTTACAAAGCGCTGCCCAACGAAACTCAGTTAGGAGCCTGCATGACTTTTATGGAATTTGCAGTAGCTCAAAGGCAGAGCTCATGTAGAATGGCTCTTCGGCTGATGAAGCAGCAGCTGAGCCGGGAAGGAGACTGCAGAGCAGCCGTGGAGAGAGACTACATTTGGCATGAGTTTCATATGCTTTTTGTGCTGGCAAATTTCATTTGTTGCGCTGCGAGGCAGAGTCTACGTTGGCATACTTTCGCTGAGGGGCTCAGGTGGTAATTCAACAGTGAGTGCAAAAGTAATTTGCACTGCTTGAATAAATCGTGTGCAGCTATGCGTCAGCCATGGCAATAAAAGCGAACAACATTTGCTGGGCCAAGCACCAGAGGGCATACGCCAATTAAATCAAATTTAACAAAACTAAAAGTCAGCAAGAAAATCAAATGCCAATTGAAGAATATTAAAGGCAGCTCCCAAAAGTAAATATACTCTGAATTGATTTATTTTTTATGAATTCCAGAGAATCACTTTAACATAAGTATTGCAGGCAATGTGTATATATATATATACATTTATATATTATTTTCATACCCTGAATCTATTGAAAATGGGAAATCAGGGTATATTGTTTTTGTTAACAAGAACAATTTGTTTCTGCTTTTATAAACACATACATGTGTCTATCTAAAAACATTTCTCTGGTTACTCTCTTAGTTCTTCTGCATACAAAAGACACAACACATGCACACACGCGCACACACACCGTCAAACATAGACATGGATTACAAATTTTCGACTTATATAATGATAAGCCTTTGCATTTTAAAAATAAGAGAACTTATCAAATACGTTACGGAATGTCACCTGAGGCCAATTGGCATATTTGCCAATTACACCACCCGGTTCCAATTAGATAAGCACGATTCATTTGGCTATATAAAGCGAGTCAGCCCAAGGGCCAGCAAACCAGTTTACTGAAGATTACAGCTCCGTGATGAAGTGGATTCTACTGCTCCCATTTTCGATGGCAATTACTGGGGCAATCAGTGAGATCGTCGTTAGCCCACCGAATTGCTGTCCACGGAAGGCTCCTGCTAGTTCATATCCCCCAATGGCAGACTTTCCACCGAAATGCTGCCCAAACTGCAGCCTTCCAAGTTGTACTCCACCGTAGCTTATCATTTGAGTGCATTTCGCCTCCTCCTTAAAAGGTTATAATTTTTTGTAAGGAGTCAAATAGAAATGTTGCTTGCCGCGATCACGTAAAAATGTATCAACTGGTTTCATTACTTGGATATGATCAAAATAAGCTCAAAAGAAGCCTTGGTAGTTTCACAGTATTTTGGAATATCCACTCAAATAGTGTTATGTACTGGTTTTGTGGGAGTGTACGTAACATGCAGAAGCGGAACTGACACACTCTTTATAATATGTATTATATATTATATATACTCTTAGTCAGGGCAACGAACTGGGTATATCCGTGTCGTGATATAACCATATCCGTTTCGTTCAATTGTTCATTCCACTCTAAATTACCGACAAAAATCGATTTGAGGGTGTTCTTTAAGCGTGGCTGAATGCCGTACGGCCTGGACATTCTTAATTTACTATGGAGGTCGGTGTACTGAGTACTAGAAACTTGTGCTATGGCAACATATGAATATGTATGTAATTGTCATAGAGCCCAAAGTTAAGCCCAAGAGCAGTTCCTGAATGAACTGCTGCACGCGTTGTTTGTTGTTTATTCTGGGTGCTTAACAGGATAGAGATAGATAGAGCGAGAATTGAAAGTAAAATTGAGAGGAAATATTTCGATGATGCAATCTATTTCCTTACAAAGCGCTGCCCAACGAAACTCAGTTAGGAGCCTGCATGACTTTTATGGAATTTGCAGTAGCTCAAAGGCAGAGCTCATGTAGAATGGCTCTTCGGCTGATGAAGCAGCAGCTGAGCCGGGAAGGAGACTGCAGAGCAGCCGTGGAGAGAGACTACATTTGGCATGAGTTTCATATGCTTTTTGTGCTGGCAAATTTCATTTGTTGCGCTGCGAGGCAGAGTCTACGTTGGCATACTTTCGCTGAGGGGCTCAGGTGGTAATTCAACAGTGAGTGCAAAAGTAATTTGCACTGCTTGAATAAATCGTGTGCAGCTATGCGTCAGCCATGGCAATAAAAGCGAACAACATTTGCTGGGCCAAGCACCAGAGGGCATACGCCAATTAAATCAAATTTAACAAAACTAAAAGTCAGCAAGAAAATCAAATGCCAATTGAAGAATATTTAAGGCAGCTCCCAAAAGTAAATATACTCTGAATTGATTTATTTTTTATGAATTCCAGAGAATCACTTTAACATAAGTATTGCAGGCAATGTGTAAGTTAACACAATCGACCAGCAAAACATAAATGTTCAGATTGATCACGCGCCGTCAGCATGAATGTAGCCGTTCCCAGCGGATATTGCACAACAGCAGCAGTGGCTCCAACGCGCAACAATGTTGTTGCCCGAAGTAATGCGATGCCTCGCGTAAATATGCAATGTCAGCATAATCAGGGTTTAGGGCTAGCTTTGGATATAAGAATTTATGTCACTGTACTTTAGTTGATTTTTGATAATAAAGAACGTCGGTCGTCGCCACGGGATTATTGAAGTCTACTCATTTTGTGCAACACCGCACACTAACATCTAACAACTACAGCAAAAAAGCTTAATTGGCGCCCAACCGAAACGAACCCAAAAAACAAAAAAAAAAAAAAAAACGAAATTAAAACTTCGATTAAAACAAGCATTCAGTGAGATAAATACCCCACAAGTGCAAAAAAAAAAAAGCAAGACAACTAAAACGCATAACCAAAACGAAAAAGAAAAAAAGAAAGCAGCATTAGACGAAGCAGTACGCAGCGAAGACACCCACCACGAAGCGGCTCATCAGCGAAGAAACACACAACATACAGTCTACTAACATAATATAAGAACATGTGAGTAGAGTGTTCATTGCAAAAAAAGAAATTAAGGAGTAAAAACAAATAAAAATACAATTTCAACCTTTAAATATTAATTATTAATAACAAAAAACGCAGCACGCAAAATTCCCTGTCTTTACTTGCCCTATGAGTGATAGTGAAATACAAGATTTAATAACAAATTTTCGAAAAATTTACAACACAGAAAATTTAAAAATGGCTTTGAATTCAGATCAATTAAAAGCTATAGTAGAAGGCGCAGTCGCAAGCGCTTTAGCTGCTCAAAAAGATAGCTTTGATAGAAAATTAAACGAAATTGAACAACGTATAAATTCAGTACAGGTTAGCGCACCCGAGGTAGAAACTTTCAAGGAGGCAGAAATCAAAATAGGTGTTATTTGCAACGAAACCCTTGACATCATGAAGTCCCTCCCGGACTTTGAAGGAAAAAGCGAAACTTATGTATCTTGGAGAAAGGCTGCGCATATCGCATACAAGGTATATGAGAAATACGATGGTAGCTCAAAGCATTATCAAGCTTTGGGAATATTAAGAAACAAAATTAAGAACGCTGCTGATATGGTACTCTCTTCTTTCGACACTCCTCTAAATTTTAAGGCCATTATAAATCGGTTAGATTTCACGTACTCCGACAAACGACCGATATACTTAATTGAACAGGAGATGTCAACACTCCGCCAAGGAAATTTGACACTACTGCAGTACTACGACGAGGTAGAAAAGAAACTGACTTTACTTATAAATAAGACAATCATGACCTACGACACCACCGTTGCCTCTTCGCTAAATGAGAAATATAGAGCAGACGCCCTGCGAGTATTCATCTCAGGAACCAGGAAGGCCTTAAGTGATGTCCTATTCTCAGCTAGACCAATTGATCTTCCCTCTGCATTGGCATTGGCTCAAGAAGTTGAGTCAAATCATGAACGTTATATGTTCGCCACAAATTTCGCCCGCAGTATAGAAGAAAAAGCGCAGAAGATCGAACAAAGACAGCAAGTCAGAGACAAGACTCTAGCTCAAGACCCAAAACACAACCAACCAGGAAAAAGCCCACACTACAAAAGACCAGAATTCTCACCACGACAAGAACAGGTAGAACCAATGGACGTTGACTCATCTTCTCGCTTCAGACAGGCTACGCAACACCAACAAAACGCGACCTTCTCGAAACAGACTCAGTGGCCAAATCAACAACGACGCACTCAATACGAAAACTACAATAACCAGGGACAGGCAAACAAACGACCAAACAGCGGTAGCGCACGGTTCACAGGACCGAAACAGCAAAGAGTTAACCACCTAGGAACAGAAGATACAGAATACGAGCAGGACAATAGCGAATACCAAGCGATCGCAGAAACCGAGACAGAAGACGTTGACAATGAATTGGACGAATACGACCAGGTCAATTTTTTAGGGAATAAATCCCTGCTCCCGTTCATAGAGAGAACGATAGCAGGGAAAACCATAAAGTTGCTAATAGATACCGGAGCCTCAAAGAATTACGTGAGACCATTAAAAGAACTAAAAAATATTACGCCGGTAGAAAAACCCTTTCGATTAAAATCAATCCAT